GTTTTATAGAATTCTCCAGTGAAACCGTCTGGGCCAGGACTTTTTTTAGTTGGTAATTTTTTGATGACCTGTTCAATTTCTTCTTTTGTGATGGGCCTTGATTTTTAGCCTGTTTTTGTTTTTTTTTCTCTAAGGTGTGTCTCTTGTAGACAGCATATTGATTGGTTATGTTTTCTTATCCAGTCTACAACCCTCTGTCTCAAGTGGTGCATTTAATCCATTTACAGTCAGTGGAATTACTGGCTAGTATGAATTTGTTGCTGATATTTTGTTATGTGTTTTTTTGTGGTGTTGCTGATTTCTTTGTTCCATAGAATTTTTTTGTGCTGATTTCACTCTGTTTATGAATCGTGTTATAATTTTCTCCATTGCTGCTGTTTTAATATTTGCTAAATATTTGTGCTTGTCCTCTTTTTTATTTTGATGAGAAGGTTTATTATTTTTCTTTGAGGTCACCCTGTGATTTATATTTGTCTTCCCAAGTTTAGAACGGTCTGTTCTATCTTGCAGTTGTCTCAACTTCCTCACCATTTACAAGTTTTGTTAACTGCACTCTTTTTCCCCTTGTTTTGGTTTGTAGTTGTCCTCATATGCTGGTTGATGTTGTGAGTTCCCTGTTTACAGTCTTATAAGCTTATTTTACTTTGGACACTTCCATAACTGAGTTGGTTTGAGTTCTGTCATTGTGTGTTAATGGTCAGTGGTTGTTTGCTGTGTTTGATTCTCTATCCAAAGGACTCCCTTTAGCATCTCTTCTAAGGTTGGTCTGGTTTTACAAATTCCCTAAATTTCTGCTTATCTGGAAATGTCCTAATTTCACAGTCATATCTGAAGGACAGTTTTGTTGGGTATATAATTCTTGGTTGGAAATTTATTTTCTTTTAGGGTTTTATGTATATCATCCCATTGCCTTCTCTCCTGAATGGTTTCTGCTGAGGAATCAGAACCTAGTCTTATCGGTTGCCCTTTGTAGATAACTTTTCGTTTTTCCCATGCTACTTTTGGGATTCTTTCTTTGTCTTTGGTTTTGGTATGATGATGATATATGTCTTGGTGATTTTCTTTTGAGGTCTGTCGTGTTTTGGGTTCTTTGAACTTCTTGAATGTATGTATTCTCGTCTTTCATCATATCAGGGAAATTCTCTTCCAGTAAATCTTCAACAATTTTCTCTGCAGTTTTATTTGTCTTTTCCTGTTCTGGAATTCAGATTACATGTACGTTATTCTTCTGGACGGTATCTCACATGAATATTAGGCTTTCTTCATTTTGTTTTGATTTTTTTTCTGATTAATCCCTTACCAAATTAGTATCGTGGGGTATTTGTCTTCCATCTCATTAATTCTGTCTTTCATTGATTTGATTGTACCTCTTTGCCCAGTCAATGTGTTATTTGTTTCTGAAATATTAATATTGATCTTCTAGATTTCTATCTGTAGATTTTGGATCATTTCTGATTTTTCATTTGTTTTGTCATTTTGTTCTTCTGTTGTCTTTCCCAGTTGTTCTAGGGTTTTTGTCGGTTTTCTTTAATTTTGTCAGTATTTTCCTTGATCTATCTCTCAGTCTGCTGAAGGTACCTAAATATAATTCTTTTGATCCCTTACCAGGGAGTTCCAATGCTGCTTCTTCCTCAGGGATGTTTTCTGAGTCTGTATCCTGGTCCCTTGTTTCTCCTACTTTATCTTGCTTATTTGTGTGGACTGTGATGGTCTGTTGTCTCAACAAGATTGTGATGTCATTGGATTTATAGTGAATTGGTGAGTGTATGTTTGTGAGAGTCACCCAAGATTTTGCTTTTCCTTTGTTTTGTTTTGACATAACTGAGTAAGCAGGATACTCTGCTCCTGTATTCACCAATTGGTAGCACTTGTGCACTCACCACTTGTCTCTTGGTGGGTGTGATAGAGATTGAGAGTGAGTACACAGATGTCCGGTAGCTGTGTGTGAAGAGCCGCTAAGGGTGAGTTGGGCTTGTATTGGCTGTCGTCTATCATTGGCTAGTTGGTACAGAAGCAAGTGGTGGCCCTCACTTAGTAGATGGGGCTGCAGGAGGTGCAGGTGTGGTTGGGGTGTATGGGCACAGTTGTTTTCTCCCAGTCAGTTAGACAAAAACAGCAATCAAAAAAAAACACCCAAACAATAAAACAAGAGGACAAAAAACATACACCACATAAACACACAGGAACAATCACCAAAAAGAAGGGGAAAAAAAAAGAAAAGCAATAAATGAGAAAAAATATTTAAAGAAATATTGTAAAAAGACAAAGGAAGTATAAATAGAAAAAGAGTAAGAAAAAAAAAGAACAAACAATATCTGGGGAGGGGGGCATAAGAGAAAAGAGCTAGAGTAAAAGAAGAATAAAAGAAAAAAAAATGAGAAAAGTACAAAAAGAGAAACAAGGGATGGCAAGAACCAAAAGAAAGAAAAAAGATGGGAACCAGGAAAAGGGAAGAGGGGAAAAAAAAAACCTAGAACCTGGGAAGAGAAAAGGAAAGAATAAAAATTATAAAAGGAAGAAGAAAAAGGATAATTAAAAAAATAATAACCTGAGAGGACGGGGCAGGACACCCAGGCTCCATCAGAGCACACAGATGGTATGTAATTCCTGCCAGTCCAGGAGGTGGGGGGAGGTGGGAAGTGGCCACATCTCTGTTGTTTACCAAGAGAGTAAGAATAAATCAAACCAAACCCACTGCCGTAGAGTCATATCCACCTCATAGTGACCCCTCCTTGGGTTTCTGAGGCAGTATCACTACAGAAGGAGATTGCCCAACCGTGATCGTCTCAAGGGTTCCTCTAGTCTCTGTTATTCCAGAAAGTTTGGTCATTTTTATGCATTTGAGTTTTGTCCTACATTTTTCTCCCATTTGTTTTTCTCTGATTCTTTCTGGGACCGTCTCTTGTATCCCTGGCCAGAACGGTCAGTAACAGTAGCCGGGCACCATGTTAGTTCTTCTGTTCTCAGGCTAGGAGAGGCTCTGGTTCTCCTGGGCCACTAGTCCTATGGACTAATTTCTTGCTTGATCTTCAGTTTCCTTTACTCCTCTTTGCTTCAGATGAGAAGAAGTCAGTAGTTGTATTTTTGATGGTCTCTTGGAAGCTTTTAAGACCCCTGGCACTACTCACTAAGCTAGGATTGCCTGTTGACCTAGCTGTCCCATGAAACTATGGTCCTGAGCCTTCAAACCCAGTAAGTCAATCCTGCAAGGTATTTGGACATGTATAGGAAGTATCCCTAACTGTCCCCCATGTGCTTTTTGTATATATGAACATATATGCATTACATATAAATGTATGCGTGTGCACACATGTTTGTGTGCGCGCGCGTGCTCACAAATGCACATACACGTGCATGTTCTCCACAGACACCCATTTAGCATACATCCCTGCCACTGAGTCGATTCCAACTCATAGCAGCCTTGGGTTTCCGAGGTGGTAAATCTTTATGATAGTAGATTGCTCCATCTTCTTTCCATGGAGCAGCTGGTGGGTTTGAACCACCCACCTTTGGGTTAGGCACTGTACCACCAGAGCGCCTTTATCTGCCTATATGACGACTCACCTGTTTTTTGCTCTTTGTTGCTGTTGTTGTAAAATAGTGTGTGTTATGGCATTTGCTGTAGTTGTAATTCTCAATGTCTTTGTCTATCTTGGTCACCTTGTGCTGTCTTCATTCGTGTTGTGTATTACCTTGCCTGTCACCAGTTGATAGCAGTTTTCTTTCAGCCACCTTTTTGCCAGGCCCCTCAGTGTCCAGACGACCATTGGTGACGATTCCAGGATGATCTGTCTCAGGGCATCTGGACTTCACTGAGCTGGTGGTACAGCCCTGTGAGGCCTCTCATCCCAGTGGAGGTTGGAGATTGGTAGGGTCAGGGCACATCTCTTCTATCCATCCTTTTGTTCACAGCAGTGGAAAAGGCAGATGTTACAAAGGTCACTGTGGGGCTCAGGAGAAAACAGTGACAGCACTGCTCTGTGCCCTGCCCAGCCCATTGCAGGCTCTCAAGTCAAATACAGGGAAGGGTTTAAAACTTGCTACATTGTTGTAATTGTTTTGTTATAATTTGTTATAATTGTACCAAAGACCCAGTTACTTTCACATACAGATACCACCCTTAGGCGCTCCTCTCTCTCTCCCTCCCTTCTCTTTTTTTTTTTTTAACCATAGCCACCTCCCTTTACCCATATGCTACTGGCCATAGGTCTTCATGGTAGAGTCCTCTTACAGTCCGGGGTATCAGTATATTGGGAATAAGCCATGGTTTTTAAAATAACGGACTCAGTAAAGTGGTGGGTGTCCCACCCTGCCAGCCGCGTGGCTGCCGCACAGTGGGTATAGGACAGAGCAGGCCAGCTCCTGGGTATTACTCCGAAGAGGTTAGTCTGGTGAGGAGAGGTCAGGGGATGACAGAGAGGAGGCACCCCATCAGGAAAAACAAGCGGGAGGACCAGGCTGTGGCCAGGTAGACGTGAGCCCTCCTGGGAGGAAATGACTTCCAGCAGCCCCTGTGGCAGTGGGCCAGCAGCCCCTGGTGTGTGGGGCTGTGGGAACAGAAAGAAGGAAGATGCGCTCGGCCTTTGCGTCCCTGTGAGGCGGCGAGGAGTGGGTGGGGCCTGCTGGAAGGAGGCCCGGTCTGCAGGGCCTGTACGCTCAGGAATACACTTGACCGCTTACCAGCTGTGTGGACACGGACCAGTTCTCCCCTCCTTCTCCATAGACGGCGTGCTTCCGGGAGGAGCGGGACGTGCTGGTGAACGGTGACTGCCAGTGGATCACGACGCTGCACTACGCCTTCCAGGACGAGAACTACCTGGTAGGTCCAGCGCCGGTCAGCGCCACCCACAGAGAGTGCCCAAGCTCATAGATTTGTGGAATCACTGCCTGTTTGTCTGTACTCACTAGGAAACCTGATGATTTTGTTCACTCGACTTTTATTACTTATAAAATTTCTTTTGTCTTGAATTATGGCTAAGAATAGGCATGGGCTAGGGGCCTTGGAGCGTCTGGCCCTTGGCATCGGGTAAGAGTCTGCCTGCATGTTGTTGGCAGCCATATAAGGCACTTTGTGTGGGGTGTGCGGCCTGCCTCGGAGAGGAGCAAGCATTGTGGGGTCTTCTGACCCAGTGTGTGGGTGACTGTTCGCATGTTCTTGTCACCTGTCTATTGTTCTGGCTTGAGTTAGGACTTGACTTTACACACGTGGAACCTCTGTGGCTCACACATGTGCATAGCTCTTAGTGATTCGGAAGCATAAATACATACTGTGGTTTGGATGTAACGAGCTGAATGCTGAGACAGCTGGTAGTGGAAGTAGAAGGGAGGTCCAGCCTTTGGTCTAAGTACTGAGTGACTGACAAGAGCACTTTGTTCAGGAAGTTTGAAAATGTCCTGCCACTGCGTGCGGGCAGGTGGGGCCTGCACAGACCACTCAGCACACACCTGAGAAGCAAGGGGCCTACCTGCCGTCCATCATGTGTCACCACAGCCTCAGGGAGGGCTGCCAGCCAGGTTCCTGTTCCATCAGGACTGGCTCGTCACCCAGAGACCCCTTGACGGGGTCCTCCGCCCTCCACCACAAGCTGACGTGTAGGACTCCTTTTATTCATCTTGAAATACTCTCTTCCAACATCAAGGGAACCCCTTAGATTTGAGGGCTCAGGAGTAGGTAAATCAGTGTTTCACTCTAATCAGAATTTTAAAATATGCACGTTTTGGCGTTCAGGAGGCGCTTCCCACCCATGAGGCATGGGGGTACCTCATTTTGTCTTCCCAGTGGCCCCATGAGGTGGGCATTTTTGATTTTTACTACTTTGTAAAAGAAGTGCCTGGGCAAAAAGGCTGCACTGCTTGCCTGACGGTTCACCGTGACAGCAGCTACGGCCAGGCCAGTCTGTGGCGGCCCTGTGCAGTGCCCGTTCCTGCCCACTGTAGGGTCTGAGTGCTGGGCCTCTCCACGGGTGCCCCCGGGATCAGCATACCTGCTCAGGATGGCAGGAGCTCTCCAGTTCCCCTTTTGCTGAGAGCTGAGCAGAGGAGTACTAGGCACGCAAACGCGAACAGCAGGACAGAGCTGCGCTCAGTCAGCGTGACTGTGGCTATATGGAACGTTAGGTATCACCCAGCGAAGAAGCTGTCTTCTTGTCTAGAGGAACAGATGGTAAGCTTTTGAACTTGTCCATTTAGATACACCATGAAAATTAAAGATGAGTGAGAAGTCAGGGGTTTTGAAGCTGTAGAGTTCGTGGGTGTGGGTCATTATTAGGATCGCAGCCAAGTTATTAGGCTTGTTTCCCACCTGTACTGTGGGACCCTGATAGTGCCTTCACAAGGGCTACTGTGAGGGTTCACGGAGATAAGGGACACCATACTATGGCCAGAAGGCATGGGGCACGGCAGCTGCTGAGTGGTGGCTGTCCTCATTGATAGGGTCTTCATAAATATGAACCACGTGTCACTGGCTGAGTGAGCGAGGTGGTGCTGTGTCCTCATCTCCTTGGGGGACGTGTGCATCTAGGGAGGCAGTTCCTACAAGACGAGACAGCCAGTCCCTCCAGCCGTCTCTGCAGCTTTCAGCCCCATCAGTAGAGGAGTGGCTGCACCCCAGCTTGGGCTGTGATGGTCTCCCATCCGGGGCTGTCTGACACTGGAGATGCCCCTCATCGGGGTTTTCTTCCTCATAGCCTCATGCTACTGCTCAGGGGAGGCCACAGCTAGGGTCCCTCGTGGGCCACCGTGGCAGGCGCATCTTGAGGTCTCCAGTGCCTACTTGGTAACTGGCCAGCATGTTTATATTGAAAGTCAGTGCTGTGTGACTGGGGAGCCAGGTGGGGAGGCAGGTAGGAAGGGGCTAGATCAACTTGGGGGTCTGGGAACCAAGGACAGGATTTTGACTGTCATGAGAGCAAGGGAAAGCTTTTAAAAGATTCTAAACAAGAGGATGACTTCACATTATAGAGATTGGCTTGGAGGTGGGTAGGAGTCTTAAAGGAGAGACTGGTGAGGAGGCTGTTGAAGTAACTCAGTGATGGTACTTGGAAACAGGCTGAGGGTGGTAGGGAGAAGTGCTGGCTCAACAAGTAGAAGGTGGGACATCTAGGACTTAGTAACCGACAGGATGTGGCGGCTGAGCAACATGGAGCAGGTAAGAACCAGGCCAAGATTTCGGGGTTGGACGTGCAGGGGCACTGGAGGAGCAGGTTCTCGGGGTGCAGGTGTGCTCAGGCCTTGGAGGCTCTGGGGACATCTGCCAGAGCTGAATGGCAGGCCTCTGCATGTGTGGGTCCCTGGTCAGGAGAGGAATCTGGGTAGACTGCCCACCGTTCATGAGTGCAAGTCATGGAGACTGAGAGTTCTGTTACTCTCTTCTGCTTTCCTTACGGGATCATGTTGCTAATGATGTCACTCTGGTTTCTTTAGTGGTTTCTTTTAAAGCACTAAGAAAAATTTGCGGCCTTAAATTTAATTGTATTACTTGTCTACAGGTACTTCCCACTTTCATGTTATTTAACTCTGGAGCAAATGCTCCAGAGTACGGTTTTCTGTTTGACGTGCAGCTGTTGTTGTTGTTATTTGCCATCGAGTCGGCCCCGACTCCTAGCGACCCCTCCTTGGGTTTCCGAGGCAGTTATCACTATGGAAGGAGGATTGCCCAACCTTCCTTCCGAGGAGTGGCTGGTGGGTTTGATCCGCCAGCCTCCTGGTTAGCAGTCAAGTGCCTTAGGCACTATGCTACCAGAGCTCCTTTGACGTGCAGTAGTCAAAGAAAAATCCAGAAGCCTGGAGTTGACTAGTTCTGCTTACTTTTGCAAATACCCTTTTAAGCGCTCTTTCCTGCTTGTTCTATGGTGCACAGTGACCTTCTGCTGTCGGGTTTAGTAGTGACTAAATCCTGTGTTTCTCCTCTTCTCTTCCCAATGTGTAGTACTTAGTCATGGATTACTACGTGGGCGGTGACTTACTGACCCTGCTCAGTAAATTTGAAGACAAGCTCCCAGAAGACATGGCAAGATTCTACATTGGTGAGATGGTGTTGGCCATCGATTCCATTCATCAGCTTCATTACGTGCACAGGTAACTGACTCCTCAGTCCTTTACGGAAGCCACGTTTGGTGTGTGGAGATGTGCCTTTCTGAGCTCCTTGACTTCTGGACACCAGGGTGCAGGGCATGTCCAGGAGTCGTGCAGGAGGCGAGGCCTTCTTCGTGACCCTCCTGCACAACCTCTTTTAAATCCCTGGCACCTGGTGCCTGTTGATACCAGCTTTCATCGTCACTGTGTGATGACGTGGCTCTGGTCTGTTGAAGCCACTATCCCTTCTGACGCTAGCCTCTTTCCTGCTAGTTCCCCCTCGTGAGGGTCCTGCAGGGCCTGATCCCAATGCTGTTTCCCAGCTCTGCTCCAGGCTGACCCCGCAGGGCCCACAGCCTTGACTCCCGCCTCACCCACCCCTACCCAGCACTCCCAGGAGGAGGACTGGGCTGGGGAGGAGGGGTGGCTGTCACAGAGCAAGAAGGACCTGGATGCTCAGTGATACTGTGGTGTCTACTGAGGAGTCCCAGTGTGAGGTGGAAACTGAGGCAGCTGGCCCTCTGCCGCTCCCCTGCCTCTGCTCCACACGCCCTCCTTGCCGCGAGGGTGATGCCCCGGACTCGGAGAGGGGGTGTGCGCCTGCGTGTCCTCTTGTCGTGGTGTTTAAGACCCAAAGACTCAGGCCTGTTGGGGATTGTATTTTTTCTTTTACTAATTTTAGTTTTATTTTTGTTAAAGTAATTTTGTATTGAAAGGTTTAAAATGGCAAATAGTTCTATAGGGTTTGTGACACAAAACAGTGTCCAGCTCCTGCTTCACTCACCAAAGGGAACTTTGTAAACTCTGAGCTGTTTCTTCCAGAATTTATCTTCATGTTGCTAAGTAACAGGCTTATATTGCTATTTCCATAATTTTTGTTTGTTTTAGATAACATCTGTTAAAATGACAGAATAAGTCCTCACACACATCCACACGCACTCACAGCCCGCGAGTGCACACGCCGTCTCCTCACCCCGCTCCCACGCGTGCTCTTGCCCAGCCTCCTGATTAGTAATAGTAATGTAGTAACTCTTGGTTGAATCTACTTGATGTTTATGATATGGCTTTGTAAGTGTTACTCACAAAAGAGCCTTATGCTAGAGGTAGTTACATTTCTGTTTTCTCAGCAGTGAATACAGGAGCTCTGGTGCACTGGTTGGAGTTAATACTTGCCTTGTTTTTTCCATTAGGTATTTGTCTTCTCTGTAACTGTCTCTATCACTGATACAAAGCGCTGTGCATACAGTCGTAGCTGGGGGGCTCTCGATCGAGGTTCCGTGGAGATCTCCTTTTGGAGCTTTCTTCCCTGCTCTGTGTGCTTTGGTTGGAGTTTTTCCCAGTGGAGAGGCTCCCTCCTCAGCTCTCTGGAATTGGATCCCTTGTTCTCTGAACCCTGTGTCTCCCTTTTGATTTGCTAGCTCGTGTCCTCCAGTGGTTTCTGGAAAGTAGAGGTGTGCAGTAATCTGTTTGGAGATCTCACCTGCCCAGAGATGTCTTCACTCTGACTATGTGTGTGGTTGATCGTTGATCCAGAAGGGACTTTAGACTGGAAGTTGTTTGTCGCTTGGAACTGGGAAGGTTTTGTTCTTGTCATCCTTTGATGCTGCCCTTGAGATATTCGGGACCATTATGGCTTCCATGGTTTTGTATTATGCTCTGTTTTTTATCTTATGGGATGCTCATGCGCTCTCTCTGTCTCTTTCTGTCTTTATCCCTGGTTTTTTTTTTTAAGAACCCTGAGGTTCTCTATCAGTCTGGGCCCAATCAAGAGAGGTCTGACCATGAGAAATTAACATAAGGAATTGTCCAGTGTAATGAGAGTGGCGTCATGAGGGGTTGGCTGGTGAGAAGTAAAGAGAACACTGAAGAACGCAGGTAGCACAGACAAGGACAGCCACTACTCTGAGGGCTGAGGGCTGGTTAGTGCTGGACAGGGACTCGCTGTGAGTTGGCTCACAGCATGGCAGAAAAGTCTGTAGTGCCTCCTCATGGAGCTTGCTGGAAATTCCTCTAGAACTTGGCAGAAGTCCGCCCTACAGAGTGCCAGGGAAAGCTACTCATGGAGAGATGTCTCACCAGGTCACTGTTACCGAAGCACCTGGCATGAGGGTGGTGCAGGAAGAACCCGCTGGCCACTGGGTGTTGCTGGCTGCTGCACACTGCAGAACAGGACACAGGAGACGCCACTCCTGCCAGGAGAGCACCCCCTTCTCAACTGCCTCTCCAGCACCCTCCACCAAGACACTGGGCTAGCTCTCCACCAAGACATTGGGCTAGCTCTCTACCAAAACATTGGCAAGAAGGGTGAATTTGGAGCTGAGAGACAATGAGCTGCTCCCCTCACACCAGGGTGTTCTGCAGTTCCTAGAGATGTTCCCTGGTGTGGGTGGTCCTCACTCCTTGTCCGGGCACTCAGTGTGGAGACTTGGGTCCTTTGGTTTCAGGAAGTGTCGTTATCCTTGATCATCTCTTCTCCAAGTTCTTCCCTTCTGTCTTTCTTGAAATCTTATTACTCAGTAGACTTTTTAGACTGTTCTCATTTTCTATCTTTTTTCATATTTTTTTTTCCATTTCTGTGCTTTTTGACCTACTTTTAAGAGAATTTCTCAACTTCTGGGCTTTATGTTAAAGCTTCACTTTTATTTTATATAATGTCCAAGACTTGCTTATTTTCTCTGAAGCTAGAAAATGTAATGTTCTTGTTCTGACTTCATGATTATAACACTTCTGTCTCTGTGGATACCAGTTATGCGCATGTGCCTCCTTCTGCTTTACTGGATTGTCTTGCTTCTTCCTTTTCCTGTTAGTTTGGTCTCTGACTTCTGCATTAGAGGCTCCCCAGCTGAATCCCCTGTTTTGGAGTGAGACATTAAGGAGCAGCTGCAGTGGAAGCCGTGTGGCCTGGAAGGGCTTCTCCAGGAAGCACTCAGACGTGGACTGGCCACTCTGTTTGGGGCGTCAACTTCGTATCCATACAGCTTTTCCCTGTGATCTTTGTACTCGGTCTCATGGAGAAGGAGGTGGGGTGGTGCATCATGACTCCACCTAGTGCCACTGTCTTCCTTAAAATTTCACCCTGCTTCAGCCCTTCCTGAGGTCTCTAAGCCTAGAGTGCTGGCTCAGTCGCTCTTGGGAGTGAACCCAATTTTCTTTGGGGAATTTAACTGCGTCTTTTATAATTGTCAGTGAGTCCTTGGTGGCAGCTCTGCCCGCAGTGGGACCCCATGCCACGTTGCTGGAAGTCCTTCCCCCAGCCGTGCCCATTGCTGGAAGTCCTTCCCCCAGCTGTGCCCATCGGTGTCCAGCTCTGCTCAGTCTCTTTGCCACTCCGCATCTCCTTGGCCCACAGAGTGATACTGACATCACCTTTTCATTCCTGCTATCTGTGTCCTTACGGATTTTAAAGGAATACATTTCCACTGTCAACTGGAGTGGGGCTTGCGGGGCAGAAAGACGCATGTGCACTCTGTCTGCCCTGGTCTCTTTCTTTGTGAGTCTCTGTGCTGATTGAGGGCTCCTACCTCCTCCACCTGGTGCAGGCGGGGTTGTGGCTCCAGCTGGCACCACCTCCTCACCCCTCTGGCCGTGACTTCTCTGCTGTCGGGTAGGACGATGATGACGAGAGCAGTGATGGCTCCGGGGGCACAGATGTAGGCCATGTGCAACATCCTGGCTGCACTGATGTATGGCAGTGTCTGTGGGTGACACCTGTCCAGATGTTCCCGGAGGACCCTGGCTTGGTGGGTCTGGTCCAGCGTGTCTTCCCTGGTCCTCTCCCTCAACTTCCACGGCCCCGGGCTCTGGGAGCCCAGCCACTTTAGTAAACCCCTCCACTCTGGGGAAGCACTCGTGTCCTTCCTCATAACGCCTGCTGGAGAACAGGCTGACACCCATGTTCTTCCCACTGTCACCTGTCCCCATGTTGGAGGAGGAGGATGGTCAAGTCCCCTCCCCATAGCTTTTCTCTTGGGGTTTCACCGTTGCTCTCAGGAGGGTCAGAAGGCCCTCCCCCCAGCCTACAAGGAACAGGGTAGAGCAGGCACAGCCCCTCAGCACAGCTCCATATTGCACGGCAGCGACTTTCCCTTCAGTTCTGCCTGGTCTAGCCAAGGGGGTGGGGGAAGCCCATGCAGGGCTGGACAGCTCTCTGGCCTGGGATCAGGGTGCTGAACTGAGCACACTGTTCTCAGCTTTGGGCAGGGCCACAACTGGGGAGTAACAGGAAGACCCTTCTTAATGCCCTGTTGCCCCTTGGCCTGTTGCACCCCAAGGTTTCCTCCACCATGCCCTCCTCACCCCCACCCTCTGCCCCCTCACCCTATCCTCCGCCCCTCCCTGCTCTGTCCGCTCACTGGGCTTTGCCTCCAGCCTCTCCTGGCTTCTGCAGGGCCTGCCCTCAGGCCACAGCACCTCGCACAGTCAGGAGGCCTTCCTGGAGGAGGCTTCTCCTCCAGAGGCCACGACGGCATCCCAGAGACAGTCCCCAGTCCCCATCCTCTCACTGTGCTACCTCATGGCAGGTGAAGAGGCCCGGAGAGGCTGGACACCCGCCTCAGGCCCCGTGGCTGGTAGGTTCCAGAGCGAGGCTCAGACCTGCACCGCGTCGTGCCCTGGCCTGCCCTGCTCAGGCCGCAGCAGCACAGCCGCCTCTTTGCGGATGGTGAGGTCCTGGTCAGTGGTTTCCTTGTTTTCAAAAGAAAGTTGCTGTGCTGATTGAGTCCCAGCCCTCAGGTCTGTAGCCCCTTTTCCTGACAGACACTGTCTCACTCACGATGGAGAGAGGGGCGTCACTGTATTTGTCACGAGTCTCCAGGGAAATTAACTCGACCCCCTTTTTTGTAGTTGATTCTTTTCTATTTTCTCCTCTAATTAGAAAGCTTTTCTTCTCGTTGTCTTAATTGACTCTGTAGAAATTTTGCTCTGTCATTTGACTTGCGGGCACATTAGGAAACATTGAAATATGTAATTCATAACCTCCTTCTGAGCACCTCATTACTCAGCCC